ATTATTTGTTAAATGGGATTTATGGTCATCAACTTTCACCAGAAAAAAAACAAAAATTTCAGTATTTCAAGCATTGTAAAAAGTCAAGAAAGGAACACAAGGACTGAGTTAAAGGGAAAGGCCTTTTTGATTTTTTATTTTTTTTAAAACTGATAATCCAAACCAGAGTGAATTGAGTAAAGCAAAGCAAAGAAAAAGCAACAGAGTGATTAAAAAGAATGAATGAACAATAAAGGTTTGCAGGAGGATGGGTGAGGCCGAATTACAGAAATGAGAGAAGAAAATGGAGGCACTCTGTTGATTTATCGAACAAATTAGGAGTTGAGAAGAATAAAATATCCCTAAATCAAACCCTAGTTTCTAAATCAATGGAAGCCAGATTAGGGTTTTATTGAACAAATGAGGAGCAGAGAAGAAGAAAATACCCGTTGATTTACCTGTGGTGGATTCTGATTTGCTGCAGAGAAGAAAACCCTAGCTTTTAGGTGTGGTGTTTTATACTATTTTCTCTCTCTTTTTTCCCGCGCGACAGAGAGGGCGACAGAGAGGGAAATGAAGAAAAAATAACGCAGTGTTATACTTTTGTTTATGACGTGTCATGTTAAAAGAATGATATGTATCAAATATAATTAAGAATATTTTTGTAATTTTATTTTAGATTTATTATTATTTTTTATTTTTAATAATTTAACTAATGTTTTAGCTATTTACCACGTAAAAGTGCTATTCTTCATTATTTATTTTTTATAATTTATTTTATTTTATTTTGAAAAGTAAACTTTATCTTATATTTCATCAATGAATGATAAGATTATTAATTATTGGTGAGGAAACACTTTATTCAATTTGTGTATATTTTCATAGAAAAATATTTTCTATGATTTTCCAATTTAAAATTTTTGACTTTATGTGTTTAAGATCTTATAATTTTTAGATATAATTTATTTTTCCCTTATGTTTTTATTTATCTTTTCAAAATAAGATGTAAAAAATAAATAAAAAATAATTTAATAAAAAATAACAAGATCTTTTAAATCTTTTCTTTCATTTTTTTATTTGTTAAAACAAATTAAAAAATTATAATGTAAATAAAAAATAAATTTATTTATGGCAATAAATAAATAAATAAATGTTAAAAAATTAAATATTTTTTTAATTTTCTAGTCAAATTTTTTTTCTATTTTTTTTAATATCATGTTGTGCTCTTATTGTGATATGTCATAGCTTAATTAGTTTCTCAATTTAAAAGACTATTTAAATATTTTCTTTTATTTATTTTATATTTTAAAAATAAATTAAAAATACAATGTGAATAAAAAAATTGAAATTTTTTTCTAGCAATAAAAAAATAATTGGTAAAAAAAAGTCTTACAATTTTCTAAATATTTTTTCAAAAAAATTAATTAATTTTTTTATTTTTCTGAAAAAAATTTAAAACAGTATTAATAGCTCTCAAATCTGAAACTAAAGTGAAAGGATGTCATATATAATTATTATTGTTAAAAAGAAACAAATGGACTTAGTTTTTCTTTGGGTACTGAAACATAGCAGGTACGGATTGAAATAGTAAGTCATTTTCAAATTGGATGAAGGTTCATATTTTTTAACGCAATAAAATTACTTAATCATTTTTTTTTAAAAAAAAGAAAAATATCATATCCTACTCTAGGAGCTTTATTTTATTTTTTAAAACAATAAATGATTCATTTAATTTTAAAATAAAAATTTTTAAAACTTATTTTCAAGGTCTTTGTGTCTTTTCATTATAGCTTTTCTATAATAATCATAATGGCTCTTAATTTAATTTAATTAATATAATAATTATTATAAAAATATATTATTTGGTGCACGCATATATGGGTTGTCTTTACTCTTTTTAGACCGTGAACGTCATATGATATATAAATAGTAACTTTTAGGATGATGTCAAATTATATTGACATCCTCTCATCCTAGCGTTTTGCAAATGAATCTCTGATTTGATGTGCCCAATCTCTTTTTGGCTTTCTTTTTTTTGATCTCCGCGCTAAATATTTAAAATTTAAAAGTAGTGATTTGATTTGTTTTTTTTATATTTTATTATTTTATTGTTATTTTTTTATTTGAAATGATTTATGAAATTAGATTTTTTTTATTTTATTCATTTTTATTTTTTTATCTTTCAAATTTGATCATTATATTTTTTTTATTGATATATATATATATATATTTTGAAAAATTTTCAAAGTTTTTTTTTTGGATTTCATTCTCATTAGGTTTTTTTTCTACTTTTATTGTTATTGTTTTGTCCTAGAATTTTTTTTGAATTGAGTTGTTTTTTTAATTTCATACTTTAACATTAAATTTGTTAAAAATCGAGTTTCTTGATAGAGTCCAAGCCTAAAATTTTATACGTTATGAATTAAAAAAAAAAAACTTATATTTAGAAATTTCACTTAGATTTGCTTGGCTTTTCTTCCTTTTCTTAAACTTGTGTTTTTTTAATTTCATTCTATAGCTTTTATTTAATTTGAGTTGGCTTATGTTATGTTTTTTTTCAAAAAAAATTGCATTCTATAAGATTTTTTACTAATTTTAATAATAACTTGGGTTATCTCATATCTTTTTATTTGTTATTCTCTATTCAATTTAACTTTTCTTATAAGAATTTTGTTTTTAAATTAAATTAAGTTAACTGATTAAATATAAGCATAAGATATTCATCTCATAATATTTTGTTTACTTTTTTTAATTCATTACTCTAACAGCACATACGAGCTCTTTTGGTGTTGTCATAATGCTTTTTGTAATGATGTTTTAACTGTCTCAATAAGCTTTTTTTGGTGATGGAGTTGTGTTCATGATAGAGCGATGATATGTTTTCAACAAGCTTTTCTTTATTTTCTCTTTACACTAATAATTTATTTTTTATGGTTAATTATAGCTTTTTTTTATTCACATTATTTACAGATTTTTTAGATTGTATTATTTAACTAATCAAGCTTATTGAATATGATTAAGTCAATCATCCTGATCTCATATTTCTCTTACTTCCTTAAAAACATTAACATTATTTTAACATTTTCATTTTTAGGTTAAAAAAACTTTAACTCAACTAGCAACGTGGTGTATGCCACTTCTCTAGTAAATAAACTAGAAGAGATAGGGGTTTTATTGCAATAAATTTATTATTATTATTATATAAATAAAACAAAGCTATGTGAAAAAATACTGTGCATTTCTTATTGTGCACTCTATCACAAAATTACTATGCATCGAAACAGTTATTCTTTTCTAAAATTTCTTTTCGGTCCCAAAACATTTTTTTGGCTCATTTGCACTCATCTAAACTCAAATTAATACTTCGTTGGTTTTTTTTTCTCTTAAGAGAGGCTAGAATTAAAAGATAAAGGAACAAAGTTAAAAAGACGTGAAAAATAGATGCCAAATCTAAATTTTATGAAAAAATCATTTTGATCCCACTTTTTTTTTTAAATAATAGTTTAATTAGTTCCTTTAGTTTTTGAAAATTCAATATTCATACAAAACTTTATTTCTTCTCATTTTTCAATTCTAATTTTATATGTGAAGAGAGAGAGAGACATTGAATTCTAACATAGAATGAAAAAGTTATCGTGAATACTAATTCTGACCATCAAAGTAGTTAAAATTAATGCCAATAAATTTTATTTAATGAGATGAGTTTAATAATGGTTATGTAGAACCTCAATATTGCTTTACCAAAGTGATTTGGACTGCTTTTTTTTTTTAGTTTATTAGGTTCAATTTCTGGATGTTCTAATAGTATTTATAAGGTGTTTTGGGTTGAAAAAAAACCTTTTAGAGTAAAAAACATATCATCCTGATTTCTAGTTACCTTTGTAGTGGTTAAAATCTAGGTAGATATATGACATATTATTTGACTCAACAGATGATGTATCATTTAACTTTTTTAATGATCAGGTATGCTGGGTCACCATAACCGTATGCATTGATTTTTTTTTTTCTGATTGGTTTATTTTATTTTTATTTAGATGAAAATAAATTTAAGTAAGAATGATATTAAATCGAGTTGAATTCATAACTTATATGATAAGTTTGACAGATTAAGTTATAATGTTATGATGGAAACTATATTAAATGTATGTTTTTTTTTTTGTTGTTCAATGAATTTTTGGCCCTTTTATTAAAACTATAATTTCACCATTTGTTATTAATGGTTTTTTATTTAACTTTAAATAAAAAGGACCTCATTTTAATTTAGCTTTAAAAAATTAGGTTTGTTTTTGTTATCTCAGTCCCTCGTGCATGACCTGGTTATTTTTGTCATCTTTTGTTATTAATTATCTATTTTTTAACTTAAAATAAAAAAAAACTTCTTTTTGATATTTAACTAAAAAAATTAGACTTGCTTTTGTTATTTCAGTCCCACATGATGTCTTGGTTATTTTTTTCTTCTATAAAATTATTTCATAAAAAAAAAACTATTCATTTTATTATCATATAATTAAATGAGAAATAACATCTAGGATGAAAAATAATTATTGAATCCAGTGACACGGGTGATTTAAGTCAAGAGTTTAGTTAGTTGACTCCAGTTTATTTGGGTTTTTTAAAAAAAATTGAGTATTATTTTTTACAAATCCATCCCTCTACATCAAATTATTTGGGTATTGCGATTTTCAATTTATTTTTTATAAGATTATTTATATAGATTTTGCAGGTCGACCTGAGTTGATTCAAATGAATCTAATATATTATTTTTATAATATTAAATAAAATTTAGTGTATTATTGTCTCAACTTTTTTTAAAAAATATTGTCTATTATGCAGCCAATTTTGAATTCAAAGTTAATTCTTTCAAGAGATGTCTAAATAATTTTTATACATTCAAAAAATATTTTACTTTGACCTGCGATGTAGAGACAACCAATGATCTAATTAATAAATTAAAAAATTTAGGGTTTTCACCGTAGTAAGTTTACTATTCATAAGGACATAAAGCCACAATGAATTTGTACTATTCCTTAACAAATGCAACTTTTAAAAGCTTAATTTGTTAATTGGAATTTTAAAGAATTACAATTTTTTTTAATTTTTTTTGAGTTTATATTTTTGATCTTTGTAGTTTTAAACATTTATATTTTAGTCTTAAAATTTTAATTTTCTCATATTTCATCTCAAATTATTGAGATAGAAAAGTTAAGGTCTCTAGAAAAGAGAGAGGAATGAAGATTTTGATTTATCATATTTCAGCCACAAAAATCAATCAATGGGTTCATTTTATAGAAGGGTTTTTAATGGATATGTTTTACCCTTTTAAGGATGTTGAACAAGAAAAGGAAGATTTTGACTAAAGAAATATATTTTTTTCTCATGAATTTAATTATTTTAAGTTTTTATTGAAAAAAATTATGTTGTTAATAAAAAAAATGTTTTGTCAAAATAGGAAAAAAATGAAAAATAAATGAGGATATTGATGAAAGAAATATATTTTTTATTTAAAATTTAAATCCTCCAAAGCCTTTGAAATGTTTATTTTAATGGTCTCATAATTAAATAAAAATCAACTTTAAAAATAGTCTCTTTGCCTTTACTCTTTCCTCTGTTCACCGATTTATCGTACACATATTATTGTTAACTAGTTGGTGATGTTGGAGGATTTTTAAGAAAAAATATTTATTTTTTTAGTTATTTTTATTTTTTTCTATATAGTTTAGAAAAGTAAATATATTTTTAGGACTTTTATTGTTTTAATTTATTTTTAGATTTCTAAATTGTTTATTTTAAGGTTCTTAGTTTGTTTAGGTTAATTTTTAAATTTATTTAAAGAATTATAAACATGCAAAATACTTTAAAAATATTTAATAATAAAATTATAAATTAAAATTATGTATGACAACACTATTCAACTTCAATTATATCTTTTTACTATGATATCTTGTGTGTTAATTGTTATCATAGTATAATAATCACACGGTTATTTGCTTGTTATATAGTGTAATAATCATGGCGTAAAAGATAGTAAAAAAAAATTATTTTATTTAGAGGCTTAAGTCGGCTATTTTGAAATTACATTTTAAATAGTATTTTTTTAAAATTTAATTTTTTTATTTAAATTTAATTTTTTATATTTTGATCTTGATGTATGAAGAATTAATTTTTTAAAAATATTTTGATTTTGATGTATGAAGAATTAATTTTTTAAAATTAAAAAAATATGATTTTAATATATTAAAATAAAACTTTTAAAAATGACCACCCGTACACTCACAGGAAGCCACCTCGATCGACATGTAATTCGGTAACCAACAAACTAGAGTTCTCCGCTTCAAGTCCTGAGCTGAGATGCTTCCGCCAAAGCCAAGTCAAACCTTTCCCCTCCATATCCATGTCTCCCACCCAAACACACAAACAGACCCTCTCGCTCTCCCTCCCATTTCCTTCTTCTTCACACAAAAACCATGACACTCATCTCTCTCTTCTCTTTAACCTCCCCTAAACCTCCTTTCTCTCTCTAAATCCCTTAAGCCTCTCTCTCTCTCTCTCTATATATATATATATATATATTCATAATGGCGATCGTAACAGGAGATCGTTATCTAGAAAAACTAGTCAAATTCGTTGAAGAACAAGCCGGTTCGTTAATTGACGGGACCCTTGTCTTAAAGCTTAACCCAGCCGGTCTCCGCTACGTGAATTCACGACTCGAATCACTACAAGAGTTAGAGAATTTATTATCCGGAGCTCCAGTTGATTATCTTCGCGCTTACGTTTCTGACCTCGGTGACCACCGTGCTCTCGAGCAGTTACGGCGGATTCTCCGTTTGTTGACGGAGTTAAAGGTTGTTTCGGTTTTGCCTCCGCCGACGCGTGATCCGACGCCGGTTTGTTTGGTTCCGTTTGGGAGATTGAGGGTTTTGGAACTTAGAGGTTGTGATTTGTCTACGTCGGCTGCGAAAGGGCTGCTTGAACTGAGACATACTCTGGAGAAGATTGTTTGCCACAATTCTACTGTGAGTCTTTTTTTTTTAATTTTTGTTGCTTGAATTGAGACATACTCTGGAGAAGATTGTTTGTCACAATTCTACTGTGAGTCTTTTTTTTTAAATTTTTGAATTGGTTTTTGTAGTCTTTTTTGACGTATTCAGTCTGTTTACTGTTAAAATTTAAGCCCTGAAAAACATAAAAAGGAATAAATTAATCACGATTTTCTATACTAACAATGGCATTGATTAAAGGAGATACTTGTTTAATTGAAGGATTGAATGAAGGGATTGGCATGGCAATTTTAGTTAGAGAAATTATAGTATAATTAAGCAAAGAAACAACTTATTAATTTTCTTTATTTCTCTGTGCTGATTAATTTGAGTTAGTAATTAGGGTGTGGTTCTTTGTAGTTGCCTTCTGTTTTTGAAATGGATAATTGTTAGTGAATTATTTATTTTATTTTATTGTTTTTGTGTTATTAGGACGCATTACGGCATGTATTTGCTAGTAGGATTGTGGAGATAAAGGAGTCACCGCAATGGAATCGGTTGTCATTTGTATCGTGTGCGTGTAATCGACTGATTTTGATGGATGAGTCTTTGCAACTTCTTCCTGTTGTGGAAACTCTTGATTTGAGTCGAAATAAGTTTGCAAAGGTGGATAATTTGCGGAAGTGTACCAAATTGAAGCACTTGGATCTTGGGTTCAATCATCTGAGATCAATTGCACCCTTTTGTGAGGTAGGGATAACAGCCATTATACTTTAAATACTATGCTTAGGATTTGGTTGCTTTGAAATTTCAATATGCACTGTATTTTCATTTCAAAGCACATTTCTAGTTTGTTGATTGGTGGATTTTTTTATTCTGGTTGGAGTTGTATTCGTTGTTTTTTTTTTTAGTTGATACTGTTTTTTATGGCATCAATCATAATTGCTTTATGAGAGTTTAACCAACACTTGAGTTATTAAAGATCACTGCTGCAACTTGCAATGGAACGTATCTGCTGCAAATTTATTGACCTAAATTGACTGAGTTGCTCATTTGGTTTTTATTGGAAACTAAATAAGCCAAACTCAAATTTTGATGTAGCTGCTCAAATCCATGGCTCGATTATGCATTTACGCATGTAAATCTGTAATTATGCTCAAAATAATGTTATTGTATTTAGAGGTGGCTGAGGTTGAGATGCATGATATCAAGTACATTTATGAATCTAGATTTTCATATGCTTAAAGCGACAAAGAATGGTATTAGAGCTTCAATTAGCAGGCTAATTAGATGTTGGTTCTAGTGATTTGGCTAGACAAGAGGTGCAGTATGGAACATGATAATGTGGAAAGTGGTGAAAAAACAATCAAAGGACAGTGAGTGATGAGGGTTGCAAAACTATTTGGTTTCTTGGAGGATGTTCTAATTGTAGGAATTTGTTATGGATTTTATTGACACAGGGTGTGGTTTTGTGGAAATGAGTGCACACGAGATGAACAACAGTAGAATGTGGCTTCAAGGTGGTTGTGAGTGCATATTGATCCCAAATTTCATATAAAAGAACTAAGATTAGGGTGTGTATTAACAAGGCAATGTAAATATGTAATTAATATTTGCAGATTTGATGTATGCCAAACTAATGCAATCTGGCAATTATTTTGGGTAAGGGTGGTTCCAACAAAAGTCAAATACACCAACTTCTTTCCAAGAACTCTTCAAGCTCCAAGATTTAAGGATCATTTTCAGAGTTTATCTTGCTTGCAAGCACTTGGGGAGTTGTCTGCTTTTGAAAGATTTCTTCTTTATTTTAAACTTCAAGTAGTTCTCAACTTAGCTCTAATGGAAAGAAAATGCTATTCAATGATGTAAAATTACCAAGGAAGAAACAATTTAAGAATCCCTGACAGATATTTCTCTCATCTTTCCATCTTCTGGTAGATAAGGTGATATGCAAAATGTTCATAAGTGAAACTTGCTTTTGCTCAGGTAGCTCTATTTAGTGCTGCAATGGGTATTTTCAAAATTCATTTGCCTGTTATTTTATAAGTGATTCCTTTATTAGAATGATATATGTCAAACCTGAATTTCTACTTTGCAGAATGATTCAATTAAAATTTTTTCTTAAAGATTTATTTTCTACACTGATTTTTTTTCTTTTTCTGTGCAGATCTCCTGTCACATTGTTAAACTTGTTTTGAGGAACAATGCCCTAACAACATTACATGGGCTTGAGAATTTGAAATCACTTGAAGCCCTTGATGTGTCCTGTAATATTATTTCTAATTTCTCAGAGCTGGAGTTCCTTACTGGCCTCCCATGTTTGCGAAACTTGTGGTTGGAAGGAAACCCTTTGTGCGGCGCCCGATGGTATCGGGCTCAAGTATTCAGCTATGTTGTTCATCCAGAAGCAGTAAGTGATGATCTGGCAGATCATAATACTTAATTTATGCTAATTCAAGGGCATAGAAGAGTTTGTAACTTTTGGATGAGTAGAATATAAATTAATATTTTAAGGATGCTTCTCATGACTTCATTATGAATTTTGTAGTCCTAGTAAACTAACTACTTTTAACTTTTTCCTGATGCATGGTTGCTCAGGTGAAGCTAGACGACCAAGAAATCAGTGCAAGAGAGTTTTGGAAGAGGCAAATCATAATTGCCAGGAGGCAGAAACGACCTACCAGCTTTGGATTTTATTCTCCTGCTATGGGAGATGATGAAGGAGATGGAAATATTAACAGGAAAAGGGTATGTAATTTTAATGGTGTGTTGAGCAAGTCCACATATTAGTAAAAAAATTATATATTGACAACATGAGATTTGTGGGATGATACATTTAGCTATGATCTTTTCATGTATTGCTTGACACTACAGCATTTTGCTAAACTGAATTCCTCCCAGCATCAAGTGTGTAATATAAGTTCTTTTTTTTTTTTAAATTTCTGTAAATTTCTGCCTTTTGTTTATTATTTTGTAAGTCTTTAAAATATAAAACTGTGTGTTCCTTTCTACTAGTCAGTTAGTTTGTTGTTATTGACTTGGAGAGTAATGACATCTCCCTATATTATTTTTTCAGAGTAAAGTATCTCGTCTTGCTTCAATTGCAAATAAAGAAGAGACCATTTATTTTTCCTCTGACCAAGAGTCTCCATCTTTTGATAATGAGATTCAAAGCAAAGAGGAGAATGACATATCTGAAGATGAAGCTGAAATAGTTGATCTGATTAACAGAGTTGAGCTCATGAAAAAGGAGTGTTCTACTCTTTGGTTGCGGGAATTTAAGGACTGGATGGAGCATGTATCAGAGAATATTGTGGATTGCAGTAAATATTGTGGGGTTACATTGCATCATGCAAAGGAAAATCATCCAACAAACAAGTCAACACTGAAGGACCATTGTGATAGTTCTAGAGATTCTATGGATGATCTTCAAGCTTCTGGAGATGAGACCAGTGCAAATCTCCTTGAGTCTAATAGTTCATTTGTTGATACTGGTTCATATGGCGGGGTTCCTTTACCAGGGATGGGGAACATGAATCTAAGACAGAAGCATCAAGGATGAGGAACATGAATCTAAGACAGAAGCATCAAAAGTCTCATTTACATGAAGGTTCTGGTAGTATGTCTATGCAAGGTAGAAGTTCCCACACAGGTAGCTCTACTGTCCAAGGAGTCCATACAATAGTTGGAAATGGAATCATATCACTGTTGACCACTCATTCATCTCCTGCATATCCTATGTCTCCTCCTCATTATGAGGAGGACATTTTGCAACGGCGCAACAACTTGGTGGAAGAAATTTTGCAGCTATCTGCAGAATCCTATTCAGTGGCATCATCTGACAATAATACTAGCTCTAGTGATGATTTATATGAATTTGGAGATTCATCATATGAAGCTGCTAAATCACAAAATGAAGAGTATTTGAATCCCAAGGCTGGAGGGCAATTATCTTCTAATCCTTTGAAGGATCAAGGACACGGAATCCATCATGTGATGGAAAATGACAGTTATCTAAATGATTCACTAACCTCAAATTCCACAAAAATTTTGAGTTCAAACTCCAATGATTTCTCTGCTGGCTCTCATGATGGTGAAAATGCTCATTTTGCCAACCAAGAGGCTGATTTGCTGGAGAAAGGAAAAAACAAAAGGAAACCAAGAAGAATAGTCATTTCTTTGCTAGAGAATATGGTTGGCAGGATAGGGAGACCAGAAAAATTAAATGGAAATGGGGATACTTGTGGAGCTGATTTGGTGGATGAGCAAGGGGAACAAATTGTCTGTGAGAGTGATTTTCATGTTACTGATAAGAAACAGCTGCACACAAATTCTTTTTCAACCCTGGATGCTGTAAATGTCAGTGGATTCTCTGATGATTTTATTGAGAATTATTTTAATGAGAAAGTAGCAGATTCCAGAATTAATGAAAGCTGTAGGAATTATGTGCGATGTGATTGCATACTAGAGCCAGAATCCATGTACAGAGAAAGGTAAACATTTTGTAATTATTAGGAAATGTTGCCTATGAAAGAGTTTCCCCTTTTCATTGTTTATTTTCTTTTTTTTTATAAGCATCATAACCCTTACTATTGAGTATTGGAATGTCCATAAATTTGGGTGAGCATGTTGCTAATTGTCACTATGCTTTTGCATTAGGTTTTCTTGCTAAAAATTGATTTTTGCTCATTATCTTCAGTTATGCAGCACCCATTGTCCATTGTTGAGTATTGTTTATCTTTTTCCATATATTGTAGTTCATGTCTTCCAGAAGCTCTAGATTAATTAAGTTGTCAGCGAGTTGTTTTCTTTTCCTCTGCTCTTTGTTCCAAGAAGGTCTTTAATGCCTTCCTAACAGAATTAAAAAAAAGAGAAAGATTTGTAATTAATTTGAAATAATAGCTCATGTTCTTTTATACTCGTGTACAGACAGAGAAGATGATTTTGCTCCAATAAAGCTTAGATTATTAGATTAGATATAAAGAATCAAAGTATATCAAATTTTTAGAATGTTTAGGGGCGTTTTCTGTGAACAACTTGTAAACACTACTTTCAATGAAAATAACAGTAAAAGATTAAATCTGCATGGAGCATCTACTCATTGCTAGACATTAAGTATATTGGTTTTATATTGCTTTGCATCTTCAAAGGCTGATAGTTGATTCTAGATCTTCACTTTTTGCATGTTTAAGCACTCCCAATTTTCTGGATTTCAAATATGAGATGCAATTTCATGTTGAACTTTGCTTACTTGTCTTCCTTTTATGTCTAATCATGAATCTTAAAACATGTTATTGTGAAAATTATAATTTTTTTTTTCTTTTGTTTTGCATGCAGAGAAGTAGTTTTGTTGCTGAGCAGTGAAGACAAGCTGTATGTACTGCTCATTGATGTAGCATTTGATGGATCGGGTTAGTTTTCAAGTATTTAGAAGAGACCTATTTTTCATTTGATGCTTCTCAATGCTGATTGCAAGATCTTAGTTGCTGAACTTCGGAAGATCACTTTAATGGCATATTGCAGGAAGCATTTTAAGTTTGCTGGGTTGGCACAGGGTTGAAGATGTTAGAGAAGTTTTAGTTGGTATAGGACTTCAGGTCGTGAGGTTAGTGATTTATTTGGTACTGTTAGTAATTAGAAGAGTGGTGTTTTGTAAAACTTGAAAATTGTCTTTTGCTATTATCTGTTAGGGTATACATTGAAAGGGGAGCAACCTACCTGTTTCTAACACGGAGCATTGAGAAGTCAAGGCAGTTACTTCATATCTTGCAAGTTTCTGGACCATGCACAACAAATAATAAGTGTTTGCTGAAAAGGTAATCTAATCTTAACGCCGCCCCATTCATATGTGAATGGGAAATTTAATGCCAGTTTTTTGCTTATGCACACTTCTAAAATGATTTTTTTTGTTTTTAAATTTAATAATTGTTCTATACTTGCATGTGTTTATTTTCTTTGTTGTAAGACTGGGTTGTGGGAATTTATATGACAGTTTGGAGCAGGTTCAGGTTGAGTTGTTCGGGCAGCAAATATGTCGAGGTTTGAAACTGAGCATATTCCAATATTCTATGGTGCTTTTCAGGCACAGGAAGAACGAAGGTATACATCTCACTGCTTTAGGGTGATGAAGTGTTATTGCATAAAATTGGTAAATGGTTGGTCCCTCAGATGTTGTGATGTAAAGTTGGATAAAACAAGGCATGATTCTTATACTATGGCTTTTTGTCAGAAGCATGATTCATCAAGCCCACTGTTTTTATTGCGTTCTTTTTCTTTCATGTGGATGAAAGGTTATTAACAAACAAAGACCTCAGTTATACCTGTTCCATACAAAATATTCTTGATGACTTTTTGTGTAGTTTGTTAATATAAGAATTGTTAGTATTGGTTTTATACGAAAGATTTATTAAATATATAGGATGGATCAGATTTGTTATAACCACTGAAATCCAAAATATCTATGAGTTGTAAATAGAAATGTTCTTAGATGCATAGTTGACCCGTGTATGATTAAATTTGTAAAGCATTTGATGAACATATACACCACACTAATTTGTTTGGAGCCTAATTTCTATCTTGTGAACTAATTTAATGGCAATTATAGTTTTATCATTAAATTTATGTAACTAAAATGCTTTGGATATCTAATCTGATTGAAATAAAAATTTCCATCATAATAGTTTCATGATTTGATTCAATGATGTGACTTCCCACGGATATGCATCGGACTATTTCTAATTATTGTGGCGTGCTTTCTAGCAGATACTCTATGATATGAAAATAATTTTTGCATTTATTTTTTGAAGTTCTTGTTTTTTCCTTATTTACTTAACCCATCCATTGGCTACTTGTAATGACTGCCAAAAATTCTCTTATGGACAGAGGACTCGTGGCTTCCCAGATCACTGTTTGTAAGTGGGGGGCATGTGCTTTTGTGTATTGAAGATCTTAAGCAGTTCAGGAGTTCCTCAGTGGATGCGTCTTCGCCTCCATATTTCTTGCTTGATTCTTGTTGCTCCATTAGTGATGTGTCTGAGCTGGTATGTTTCATCTTGCTTGAGCCCAAGCTCTTTACTTCATAAAATTGCTTGCTTATAAACCACAATTCACCTCAACTTGAATGCTGGTTAGACTGGCATATTAATTCTACATCCAAAGAGCTCTGAACTAAATTTGTCTTGTGTAGTCCGGCTCTCTTTTCTATTGTCTTTTGCTTTATCTTAGCACGTCTAAGAAACTGCTTTTCTCAAAAGTAAAGGTTTTCTGGGAACAATATCCTGCTTCTATTGTTCTGTGCTGTACTTGTTCTATTGAAAGGGTGAAGGTTATATCCCATTAAGATCATGATTCTATTTTCAGGTTATTGAGGCCAGGGAGAGCTGGTTTATAACCTTAGCCCTTCAACATGCCCCAAAAAGGTTCTGCCTATCGTCCAAATCTCAAAAGGATATCAAAACAAATGACAAGGATAACGAAGGTTCAAGTTCTCTGACATGGAAGCTTAAGTGGTTCTCAAAAGAGAACCTATTCAATTTTGTGGCTTTGTTAAGGGCAATTCATGCAGGGGTAGCTGCGCTACCTATGCTAGTAACATATACTCCGTGAGCCTTGCTTTCATGTTTTTGTTTTTCATATTCATTTCATTCTTTTTGATTTAAGGTTTTCATTTTACTTCTCAATTATATTTATATATTTAGTTTCTGCTTGTATCCTGTGGGTGGTGAGCCAATAGCTTCATATTCTTTCATTTGTATTCTTTATAGGTGATCCTTTTCTCCTGTACAAAGTGTAGAGTATAGAACAAAGTAACTTGTCATCAGCTCAGTTCTTGGTTGTCCATGGATTGCCTTCTTTATTTCTTTTATCCTAAGGAAACTGATTTATGTCTATTATGCCATTGGCAATGTGCAGCACTTAGATTAATATGTTATACACTCACCCGACTCTTGTTCTGTACATAATGAAGACCAATTTTTGTTTTCTCGTAAGACGACGCCAAAATTATGAGGTTTCAGTTCAGCATGACGCATGAGAGGGAAATGATGTTAAGAAGGAAACAGACGGGTTCGATGTCTCTTTATCTCTTCACCGCTATCGGGCTCGGCATTTGCTCAGCAAATTCCCACTTCGTTGATGGGCTATCTCTGCCTCAGGCACTTGGCTGGGTGTTTATCTAGTTCTGCTACAAGCCAGCAGGTATTTTTGCTTACTAGCATACAGAACTTCATATTTTGGTAAAATAACATAGATGCAAAAGGTACTGTTAAAGTATCATAATTTGTGTTTGTCGTGATTCTAAAATGTAATATGTAAATAAATCGTGATTGAAAACATGATATGATTTGAAAACGTGAGGTAAAGAAAAAGTGATCGAAAAGCATGATATTTGAAAAATATTTTGCTTAGGAAACCGTGACATCTACCAAACCATATCTTACTCTTAAATTTACCCCATAAACCCTAAATAATACCTAAACTATTTATCAAGCCTTATCTAATTTCTAACCCTAACTAAGACCTAAACCCTACTATCTACTAACCTTCAAGTGATAAAAAATAATCTAACTTGAGTTTGAACTCTAAATACTCATTAACTATATTCTAAACATCAAACCCTAACCCTAACATCATTCTGCAAGTTACTTAACCATTTAAAACAAACACTAAACCAAATCTTAAATCATAACTCTAATTTTAACATTAAACACTTATCATAACCCTAACCCTAAACCCTGATTCTAATTTAAACACTAGACACTTACCATAACTCAAATTCAAATTCAAAATCCCAAACTCTAACCTAACTAATCCCTAACCCCATAGTTTTAACCACAAAACTAATCCTAATCCTAATCCAAATCTATAACCCCAAATCCTTAACCAAAACATATAACTTCCACTAATCCTAACTCAATCCAAACATCAACCATCAACACACTGACCTCAAATGTTGAATATTAAATCTCTTGTCAATGTAAAATTAAATACTCCAAACACTATTTATATTAGGCTTCTTTTCTTATAGAATTAAACATTATATAAAAACTATATATTTTTTTTTTGCAATGTTTCTTTTCTTTTAATTTCCGTGGTTTAAATGTGGCTTGTAATCAATTTTTTGGTTTTGTATTTTTAGTTCATTACATGATAACTACAATTTTTTATTCCATCTATAATTAACTTTTTATCATGTATTTTATAATTAACTTTTTATCATGTATTTTATAATCAAAATTTCATTTGAATTTAGGATGAATAGCACTATAACACAAACAGGACCACTATTGTTCTTATATCCATCATGCTAGTGCAAATTGCAGTAACAGCTGTCGATTCATCATTTTCATATAGAAACCATATTACCTATAATATAAATTACCTATAATATAAGTGTTAAAAATATAAGACGACAATAATAAGTAAAAGTTAATTTGAATTATAAAAAAAATTGTTCAACATGTATCTAGAAAAGTTATTATCTCTCTAACTTGCTTTGATAAAATGAGATTATTTTAATCCCATACTACCATGTGTGAGATTACCTTAATCCCATATTACCTATCAGTACAAATCACAATCTTATTAATAAGATTCTTAGTCACATTTAGACAATATAGCAGCAAATAATTATTTTGAACTTTGCATTACATGCATCCTGTGAATGCTGGAGTGTAAAACTTATAGTTTGGTAGTCGTAAGTGGCTTTCTTGGAAGTGGGGGACAATCTACGTAAAGATGCTCTTATGAGATACAAACATATCATATTCAATAATTTAAAACATAAGCATATTAAAGTTAATGTAAAGTGAAATAGAGGAGCTTTCAATGGTTTTTTAAGAGAGGGAGGGGGCTGGTTATCGGTTGTCGGGTTTTTTTAGAAATGGGGGGTAAGATTGGTTATGTTGGGGGAGGGAGATAAGGTAGATTAAGGTTAAATTTCACAATATATCATTATTCAGAAACAACTTCGTAAGTTGTTATGATTTTAAATCTCGCTATCCATGAAATGTTGCATTTATGAATCACAACAAGCTCAAACTGTTTTATTTCACTGAGTATTCATAAAATTATGTTATTTTGCTAATATTTTTAATTTATTATGCTAATTTAAAAAACCCTAGTGAGCAGCCAACTAAGTACCTTATTTTTTTAAAAAACAATACATATTTATAGTTTGTTTTACATTTTTCTCGACGTGATGTTGTGGGGTTATATTGAAAATTTATTTTTATGTTAATTAAATTAAATATTTATAACAATCACAATGATTTATTTTGTTGAATAAAACATATATATTTTTTAAGTCATAATTTTCTTTTTTATTCATATGTATTTCTTTTTTTGGAAATAAATATATCTTATTTTATCAGAAACAAGGTGTTTTTTTTTTAATTATCGTAGTTTGAATTAGAAAAAAAATAAAAAGAATCATGTTTTGATATTCTTTACACGATTGTATGAAAAAAATAATAAAAAATATTAATTTAAAAAAATTATATAAGGAAAATGAATAACAAAATAATTATTTTATTCTCATTGAAATACAACAAAAACAGATCAACAAGAAAGAAAAATACAAAACAGAATCTATGATTCAAGCCTATATTCTGGACCCTCATGATTTGCTAGCTTTAATTGTTCTACTGTCTTGCTTTGGAAACTCCAGATTTTCGGTTGCTTCTTTTCTTTTTTTCTTTTTTTTTTTTTTGTTTAATTAATTTTCCATAAACCACCAAAAAAAAAGAAGACCATTCTTGGACTTTAGAAGCTCGGTGTGCTAGAGACAATGGCTTAGAATCATGAGGTGGTCTGCCAAAAGATCATTATGTGAACATGTCGAACAGTCAAAGCACCATTTTTCACCAAATCTCGGACAAAGGGAGTGTCAATCTGAATGGACAGGACTCAAACTGAGATGTGTAGCACTGAGCTGGTTATCATACGTTAATGTTGGAGGCATGGGTAATGGATGCTCAAGTTTAGTCGTAAGGTGGGGGAGCCTGATAGTTTCAAAAGCCATCACTGCTAATGGACTCTACTTATTTGCCTCAATCGATGGCTTGCTGTTTCTTGGAACACCAGGAGATCAGTTTGGAGCCTTAAAAAAATAATAATCATATAGACAAAGGTGGATGTTCGATCGTCTTAGCTGCCAGCCCAATCAGCATTTGAGAATGTCAAGAGTAACATCCTGAGTTATTTCATTTAAAACAAAACTGAAAATTGGGGTATTTTATATATAAAAGATAAGGTCTCTTGTATAAAAGCTCACCCAATCAATACACCAAATACAAAATTTACTCTATGCATACTCATTAAACATACAAAGCGTTTTCAATTTAAATTTAATGATTCATGCAATTTTAATGAAATTTTTAGAGTTTTTTCTAATGAAAACCTATTTGAAATTTTATCTCACAGCTAGTATGAGGCATGCCATCCGACAATCCTATGTTTATACATGGACATTGAAAAATGAAACGTAGAATGAACAATAATTTATTATTTGTTTATTTTTATATTTTAAAAGTATTTTTAAAAAAAATAATTTTTTTTATTTTCTTTCCTTTAAATTAATTTTTTTATTATTTTTAAATTATTTTGATACACTGATATCAAAAATAATTTTTTAAATAAAAAATATTATTTTAATATATTTCTAAATAAAAAATATTTTAAAAAATAACTGCAACTACACTCTCAAACATGTTTACTTACTTACAATTTAAAAATATTAGACTTAAAATATATATTAATTTAATAATATGCTATACCAATAAAAATTATAAAATTCTATCTAACACACAAAAAAAAAAACTACATATATAGTCCCAATCACGTTATCATTATTGTGACGATCCATATAAGATGAACATAAAATATATAACAATATAAATAATGAATAAAAGCATGTGAATATACATTACAAACATGTACTATGTTATAACTTTGCACAACACAATTACAATGTCACGAATTATGTATTCTTTTTTAGCTATTACTCCATCATTATGATTAGAAAAATTTGCCAGCACAATTTATTAATGAAACTTGAAGTGAGGATCTGCTCTTGGTAGCTTTAAAATGAAGAGATTTGAATACGAACATTGATTCACTTCCTAATTGATCGAAGGAGAGAGATTCGAGATCCGAAAGGGCATGTCGTTTTGAAGGAGAAGGAAGAGTTACTAGAAACAGACAATATTTAGCTAGCTGCTACCTCCATCGATGTAATGTATGAAACAGAAGAGGGTGGCTTTCGTTTTTTATTTCGTTTTGCCTGGTGAGAGCTAGAGTAGAGGAGTACGTAAGTTGTAATTCTTATAAATTAAAATTGAAATGAAATAAAAATTTGGAGTAAATTTATTTAGATTTCATGACTGTGTTTATTAATGTGATGTATATTTTTTAATTAAAAATATATTAAAATAATATTTTTAATTTTTAATATAGAAATTTCAAAATCATAAAAAAAACACATTAATTTATAATTTTAAAGATAAAAATTAATTTTAAAAAGTCTCAATAACAAGAACAAAGAGTGCTTAATTAAGTGCTGGACTTGAAAGGAATGGAATGACATTGAAATTCACTATAAATTTTGTTGAACTGCAACAAAAACCAACAAATGGCCTAACCTTCATTTTCTGTAGTGCGGAGGAAAAACAATTTAAATGAGAAATTAATTTGAAATGCACGTAACTAACTTATATTTTTTTTTAAGTTTTTGTATTTTAAAACTATTTTATAATAATTTTATTAAATATTTTTTTTAATATATACAATTAAACTTTTATTTATTTATTTTTAAATCTTTCAGGAATTACTAAAATTATTGATAACAATTATTTGTTGACTTGTTGTTTTATACAATTGGGTTAAATATAAATATTAATATATTTTTTAATTTTTTTATTGTGTCTCTAATTTTTTGAATTGCTTAGTACTTTATTTTTAATTATTATTAAGTTTATCACCATCATTTTTCATATGAAATTCATAACAAAATAAATATTAATTCATCAAAACTCATTTCAATTCATATTCATATGCATATAATATTATCCATACATATATTAATTTAACAAATCCATAACTTATTATAAACTCTAATATTTCTAATATTTTTAATAACTAATTATTAAGGAATAAAACTACAATTAGATAATAAAAAAAATAAAAAAAATAAAAAAAACTCACCTAAAACATAAAACATAAAACATAAAAGGTTACTTACTTAACTATTAATAGTTTAGGACTTGAAGACATATTTTATTACTTAACTAATTAATAGTTTAGAACTTAAAAGAGATATTTTGTAAAAGGAAAAGAGACAGAAATAATAATTAAAAGAAGGCTTGGATTCATTAGTAGTTAATAAAAAAATTAAACTTATTAAGTTATAATATTAAAATTTTAATATAATTTTTTTTAAAAACAATTAAGTGGACAATTGCATCCTTAATCTTCATTATGGCTCCACCACTAATTTTTTAACACATCATTAATAAATGTGACTAAAAATTTTATTGTTGCTATCACACATTAAAAATTAAAGGAAAACAAAACTTTTGTATAAACTATTTTTTTTATAACTTTTTTTTTCTTTTATCTTTTTATTGCATGGCCCCAAACGGTTTTGTGTTATGATGAAATTATAATATTCTTCAATAACAAAATATTTATTCCAAGTTTTATTTGGTTCATTTATTCTAGTTTTTGGGTATAGAGTGAGTTTTATGTTTGTTTTTTTTGAGTTTTTTAATCTAGGACAAGATATTAATAGTAAACCAAAAATTTAATGTGTGAATAAAATATTTGTAAGATTAAATTGTAACCTTTTCCAAATATTAAAACAACAACTACTAGAAAATTTGTAAAGTTTCATTTGCATTATCGAGCAAATATAATTTTTCTAATCAAATTCTTATATTATAAAAAATACATTAAAAAATTGGGCTAATCATTTGTTTTCATTAATGTCCTTCTATTTTTCTTATTGTATCATTTTACTTTCCATTTAATAATTATAATGTGTTTTTTTAATAAAATCAACTCTCATAAATCATGAAATGATATTTATAATCATAAACATGTGAAATACTATAAGATATAAAAAATATTAAAAAACAATGAAAATTCAACATACAAGAGATACACTATGCTGTAAGAGTTATCTACAATGTTTTTTTTTTTCATTTAATTTTTTTTTCATTAGATTTTTTTTTCAATTGAATCTATGAGCTAACTCAACTCTTTTTTTTCATTAGCGTTGGTTATTTTATGGGTTTTTTTTCTTCCCATTTGACAATTTTAGTGTGCTTTCACAGAATTAATGATTAATAAACCATAAAAAATGATGTTTATATTCATGAACACATGAGTCATTAGAAGATGGAAGAAATATTAAAAAAATTATGGAAATATAACATAGAAAAAAGACAATCCACTACTTGTTACAATAATTACTCACAATAATTACTCGTAATATTTTTTTTAAATTTTTTTGTTATTTAAATTTTTATTTTCAATTTAATTTTTTAACATTATGTTAAGTTTGGATTTATTTTGGTTGAATTTATATATAGCTCTCATGAAATTACAAATAAGTTTCAAAGTTTCAACATTAAATTAATACTCCATCTAAGAAATAAAATTTAATTTTATTGATTCAAACTAATTAAATTAATTTTTGTGATTCAAACTAATTAAATTTTTATGGATCCAATTTTAAACTAAAAAAATATCTAATTTCTTCCTAGAAAATAATATTTTTATCTTAGTTTGCAAGCTCAATTTTTCGTTATAATCAATAATTTTATTATTATTTATTGATATATATTATATATATATAATTCTTAGTTTATTTTATTAAAAAAACATAAATTTTTCTATTTGCGGTTAAAAATTTTTTTATAGTGAAAAAACATTAACAACACCTGTATTTATTTTTTCATCGAAAAGAAAAGTTTCATCCCACAGCATAGTTATAGTGAAAAAACATTAACAACACCTGTAATTTTTTTTTTTTGCATCGAAAAGAAAAGTGTCATCCCACAGCATAGCGTGAAAAATTAAACTAGTAGGAGTCTAAATCCAATGTGAGTACGTCATGTTCTTACAACATTAGAATATGCAAAAAATCAAACCCAGAAAGATAGCAGCAACGAAACCAGATCCTCCAAAGTGAGTGATCTCATAGTTTGCTGCACTTTTTGGATTTGTGTTGGAACCTATACAAGAACAGATAACAAAAGTAAATATTAGTTTCTTGGTCATAAAATATAAGTATAAAAAGAATTCAAATCTTTTAGCTGCTCGTCAAATTAAAATAAATACCACTGATCTTCTTTTTTCAATATAAAGTAGAATAGCAACAAAAAAGAAAAAATTAATTTAGAGATCATCATAAGTATGAAGTTCAAGACCTCACCACTTGGAGTTGTTGCATTGGTGGTCGGAGTTGATGGCTTTGCCGGAGAACCTGATGGAGATGTTGATATATATATAGAGTTAGATGGCTCATATATTCTTGTTCGCAATTACAAGATGACATAACATGCATCTAGACTTGAGAACATTAATTATTTCATGCAATTGTCATTAATTTTCACAATTTAATTGCAAGCCTAAAGAAAAAGTGTCAAGTTTGAGCAGTCAAATGGCTAATATAAAGATATAAACATGGCACATAAGAATTTGAATGGCGTTTTATAAGAAAATTTCGTTCAAATTAATCTAAAAACAGAAAAGAAAACCTTAGATATAAGCCTAAAACCACCCATTGAACAGATCCATGCACATAATGATAACCAATTTGCCCATGCACTTAAGAAATTATTAGATAATTAATCCCAAAACAATTGATCAGATTTTGACGATAAAAAGGAGAAAAAAAAGAAGGAAATTCTGATTACCATTTTTGCAAACAGACATGTCAACTGAGGCGCCACAAGTCTTGGCAAGCTTAAGGGCACCATCCATGGTGACGTTGAAATCCTTCAGGAGATCTGGATTTGCTAAAGCACTGCAAAGACACTGAGCTTGATGTGCGACCATGTCCTTCAGTGGCAAGCAGCAAACGGGCGGTGGCTGCTCGGTTCCTGGTAAATAGGGTTTACATGGAAGCAGATTTTGTATACATGACATGTCTATAGCCTCACCTCCTGGAAACCCTAGAAAGACACACGATGAGAAGATCAGAAAGAAACTCAATGTGGTCTTCGAATCCATGATTAATTCTTTGATGAAAAAATGAAAACAAAGTGGGATTTTTCTGAAGATTAAAAAAACCCTTTTCTTTTTTTCTCTTTTAATATCTTTGTTGTTATGAAAGGGATTTTGCACTGTATTTATTAAAAGAGATGTTTTATTTATAGAATATTTTTAGCTATTTCTTCCTGCTATTTCTCTGAGCATATTAACCGTTCTTTTCTTCTGGGACACCGTTAAATTCAATTATTTTATTTCATCAATAACTCCAGTAGATAAGCAAAGTTGGGTTAACTACATACAAGAAAAAGTCGTAGATGTAATACTACTATTTTTGCTATTATTCCTCTTAAGAACTTAAATGTCAAAATTATAATAAATCTGGAAAAAAATAATTGCATGTGCCTTGTAATTTACTAGAAAATCGGGATATATATATATATATATATATATATATATATATATGTGCATTTTGGAAAATATCTTTTATATGCAGAGAATATATAGCTCAGGATTTTGACTCAACTGTCTCAAATAAATAGCTCTTATCTGTGAAGAAGGGGAAAAATTGGCATCAGATTGGGAAGTGGCACCATCAAATGAAAAGGGAACATAAATATTAAATAAAATAGGAGCAGTCTTCCTATTGGACACATTTGTGAATGTTTTTTATTTTTCAATGTATAATTATTATCCATCGTGGATGAGAATAATGATTGGGATTCAATTTTCCCTCGAGATCACAACTTCATTATAAGTGAATGAATGCTTCTGATTTCGAGTATGAAATTTAGTAAAGATCAAAACCTTTCAAGTACTTACAATATTTCCCTTGTTTTTATCCTTTTTTTTTTTTTTTCATAAGAAGATATCTTCGAATTAGGTATCGTGTACTTATGCTAGGTGACTAACCACTATTTAAAAATTAATAAATACAAATAGAAATATTGATAACTAAAATTTTATCAATAAATTATAATAAGATTTACCGATAAAATATTTTCTTATCATGTTTCTCGATATACACTAATAAAAAAATTCTGTTAGTATATACAAAGGAAATTATAGTAAAAAAAAAAAAATGACATGGCATACTTACAAACAGTATTACCAACGAAATAAATTCGTCGGTAAAATTTGCCCATGAATTCTAAAAAATTAACTTTAGTGGATCTATTATTATGGACTGAATTGATCACTTATAAAAACTGACCCAAAACTTTTACTAGTAAGCTCAAATCCTAATCCAAACAAACTCTAAATTTTAACTAAAAATAAAGTATTAATTAAATAAAGCTCATAAATCTTAAGTCTTTATCTATCCAATGATCTTAGAAACCAATATGTCATTAAATATCATTAGCCCATCTTTCCTTGTGTAGCTAGGATGATCGTAAGAAAAAAGATTTTGAAATATTGATGAATCATTGCCACACTTAGAAATTATATTATAGTCCATTAAAGATTCTTGTAAAATTAGAAAATTCCTATATATTAAAGATTCTTGTAAAACTAGAAAATTCCTATAATAAGCCGCCACATTCTTGTAAGAAGCATATCTTTGTCAAATAAAAAGTCCATAAGTTAAAAAAAAGTAAATAACAAAATTCATACAACTTGTTCTAACCTATATGACAACTCCTTCCTGAACTTCGATTCACTTGAAAGTTTACCCCAATATACACAAATATCTCTAGAATCTTTTGGTATAGTTTTAGGTTAATCTGACAATTGAATTTGGAGTTATGCTCAATAGCAGAAAATTAAATGGTAAAAAATTTTACGTTACAATGTGAATTTGACCTTACTTGAATTATATCAAAATTATAATAGGATAAAAAAAATTTAAACTAGGATCTAAGGGCTTATTCATCTTTCTATTGTGGTCTTCTTACAATTATAAAGTCATAACAAAGACAATTTGATATTTAAAAAAAAATTTAAAGAAGAAAGTTTGTTGTCATTTTTTATGCATGCGCCAACATGTTATGCCACTATGCATGCTTCAAGTGGCGCATGCGAAGGAATTAGATAGTGAAATTGCCCATCCATGCCAGCGTTAAAAAGATCATAAGGTCCTTTTTTAAATGTGGTGGCACGTTGGGCAATCTGGCTATGGTGATGTTTTCTTTCTTTTTTATTTTTTTCTCTCTCTTTGCTTTGAAAAACATGTTGTCTAATCAAAAAATTCATTTTATTCTCTTATTTTGTCTTGATAGTTGATTTAGTCCTCTTGTTTTTTTATTAAATTATTTTGTTCTTAATTTCTTTTATGAATTTTAAATTTGTTTTTTAAGTTAACACTTTATTGAAATATTATTTTTTCTCTTATTTTGTTTTAGTTTTAGTTTGATCCCTTTTCTTTTGATTTTGAGTTTTCTATTTGATTTTTTTCTATAAAATGTTTGATTTTTTTTTTATTTTCACCCTTTAATTAATGAATGTTATTTCCCCCCTTATTTTTTGTTTAACATTTGGTTCTCATGCTTTTATATTACTATTTTTTTTGAATTTAGGGCCTTTAATCAAATTGATTTTCTTTTTCAATTTTATCCTTTAAAAATAAAATGATATTTTTCCTCTTATTTTATTTTGATCCCTTTCCATTTTATTTTGGGTTTTTTTTTTAGTTTTTTTGTGAAATGTTTGATTTATTTCAATTTCACCCTTGAAGCAATGAATGTTATTAACCCTTTAGTTTTTTAGCATTAAGTTCTCATTTTTTATATTACTATTTTTTTTTGTCCTTTTATCAAATCGAATACTTTTTTTTTCATTTTCTTCCACTAACTTGAAATGTTATTTTACCTTTTATTTTGTTTTGGTTTCATATTTAATCTTTTTTCTTTTAATTTTAGATTTTTAACTTGATTTCTTTTGCAAAATATTTACTTTTTTCTTTTTTAATTTCATCTTTAAATCAATCAATGTTATTTTCACCTTGATTTTTTTGTTTAGCATCACTACCAGGAGTTTGCATGTTACTGGCATATTGTTTTATTACTATTTCACTAATTGTGTAGAGAAAACATTTACCAAGAACATCACATATGATTATTGTTAGTCAAAGAACCTCTTGTTAGTGATTTATATGATATGAATAAGTCCAAGGACAATATAAATACCAATGAATTTATACATGGAAAAAGCACGCGAAACCAAAAAAGTTATTAGCATCATTTCATTGGTGGTTATGTCATGCCACTAAGAGATAAAACTGTTTGTAATTTCATCGGTGATTTATTTCATATTATCAACGGACAAAATCCATCAATGATTAACATATTGTCAGTGACATTTTATGTAATATTTTTTTTAATTCTTTGGAACTTTCTAATAGATTTAGTCTGTCGATAATTTTGTCAGTAATGTATTTAATATTTTTTTTAATTCTTTGGAACTTTCTAATAGACTTAGTCTGTCGATAATTCTGTCAGTAATGTATTTAATATTTTTTTAAAAAAATATTAAAAAAATACAAGAAAAAAATTTAAAAGAAATAAACTAAAATAAAAGGATTAAGAAAGATAATAACATTTTTATTTGAAAAACAAAACTTGATATCACCTCCCCTATATAATATACTATCCAAAATTCATCTACTTACAAATATGCATCAATATATAAAGTCATAAACTAGTTGATTTTATTTATAACTAATATGTTTTTATAAATTGATTATTTTATAATATGAATAAGGAAAAGATGAACAAGACAATGAATTGAATAAGGAAATATAACATTAAAAAATAATTATTTCCTAATACTAAAATTACCGACCAAACTTTAAATTGAGATTCAGTTTAACCCAACAAACACGTTATTTAACACACCGTAGTCAATTTCCTCCAAATTAACCCAAACCTAAACTGCAAAATAATTATTTTATGAAAAACACATTCTGATTAATTATTTCAAAGTTAACATAAAACTCTATATTACAATATTATTTTACCAATTAAAATTTAAATTGAGCCTCAATTCAACAAAAAAAAGTAATTATTTTATGAAAAATGCTTTCTAATCAATTTCTCCTGAATTTACATCAAATCCTAAATTGTAAATTAATTCATTCCCAACATGATAAAATTTTAGACATAACTTAAATTAGTATTCAATTCAATAAATACACTATTTATGAAAAATATATTATAATTATTGTTTTTAGAAATTAACCCTAAATTGCAAAATTTTAACACAAACATATCAAAATCACCAATAACAACAACAACAATAACAAAAAAACATATAATGTAAAATAAACATAAATTAAATGGATTTTGTTTTGTATCATATAATGTTTTTTAGACTAAAAAAATTATGCAAAATAGAGCAGAAGTTGTCACAAAGCAACACAGACTCAAAACTCATAAATATAGCATATAAAACCCAAAAAAAAGAGAAGAAAATGAAAAACTTTACGTGTTAACCGACCTTAGTGAGGCTTGCACAATTACTTGTAATGATTAAAAGAAAACAAGCACAAGTTATGAGCATCATAAGAAAAAAAAATTAAGCTTTGGAAACCCAAAATTGATAGGATATTTATTTGAAAAAGTTATGGATGCATGGTGGATGAAAGATGAAGAAGTTGAGAGAAAGAATAGATTGATAGAGAAAGAAGTGATTTTTGTCAAAGAGAGAAAAGAGGAAGATAAAAGAAAGAAGAAGACATGTTTGTTATGAAATCAGGGATTTTGATCTTTTGATTGTGGCTTTGTATCAATATAGTATTAAATATTTATATTTCTTTTAAATATAAATTGATAATTTTGTTAGTAATTAAAACTTAAAAATTTCAATTAAACATGAAATTTTAAGAACCCCTAAAATCCTCTAATGAATTTTTTGTCTATTGGTAATTCTATATGTATAATGATTAGTGACAAAGTCATTTAATTGTTTTCTATCTCTCTAGAACTCTCTAACTGACACAATCCATTGGTAATTACATCGGTAATTACATTAAAGTCAATTTCATTACACATTGATGTTTTACAATTTAATCAGAAATGTATTTTTCTTTTTCTTTCTTTTCTTCTTCAATTTCATTATAGTCGTGTCCATCATA